TCTAACTGCGTATGCTGCTGAGCTGAGTCTACTCGATAATTTATCTATATGTGGGCCCCACTGTAGCTTAGAATCTCATGTTATTTCTAAAATTGTCGTTGTATCCACAAGGTTTAGCTCGACATCCTTAATCATCACAGTGGTTTTCACTGGCTTGACGTTTGGCGTGGTGAAAGTCAGTTTGTTATTGTATCATAATTTTCAACAATTGCAAACTTATATTTTGTGGTTTGATATTCAACTGACGTATACAGCGACGTATGGCAAAGTATTTTGATAAGAGAGTGTTAAATTTGTCAGTAGGAAAAAACGGGCGAAAAATCTGAGATGAACTCTGGGACTATCTAAGAGCACTTTTATACGAAACCAGCTATTCGAGACTCAAACTTGATCGACTTTTTCCTTCCCTAGTTACTTTCTTCCATTGTCCCTAACGGAGTGTTGGCGTCGGGTAGGCGGTATTAAAAAAAAACAGCCAATATTTTTTACAGAGTAACACCGTTCGCCGACCCCAATTAATATTGGAAAAAAACAGGAAAATACTTTTCCATAATATCTTCTTAGTCGAAACATTTAAAACCAACATCAATGGCTTTCGTATACTGTTTTAAGTGCTAGATTACAAATATTTCATTTAATTGATCGTCATTTTTGCAATTAATTGTAATAATTACAATTTTAAAAAGATTTATACCGTTCCTAAGTTGATTGTCGGCTTGGAGTATAAATAAAGTATATAAATTTGGTATCGTTTGTGTAATTTTCGATATTTTAGCCAAATCATTCATTGTTTTTAACATGATGCTTTCATTCATTATATTACCAACTGCACTATGACATCCAAAACTAATTATAAAAATAATTAATTAGCAATTAGATGTTAACATCTAACTGCTAATTAATTATTTTCGAGATTGCAATCTCGAGATTGTTGACGTAAATGTTAAAAATTTTAGCTTTGTTGAACTTTTAAAGTCCGTAAGAGTATTAAATTGGGGCAGATGGAGCAGTCCACATCAAGTCTTCAATGTAGACCGGTTCCGAGGTTAGTGCTTAATTTCGTTCCACGTTTGGCCAATGCTCTTCGTCTCATTTGCCACTGTTCATCACCAAGATCTTCTATATGGTATAGAATCCATTAAAAAAGTACTTAAATTAAGACTTTGAAACGAGACCTAGTCTTATTGCATTACACTTTCAACATTTCAAGATTTATTTTAGAAACTTTTAACATTTTGAATCGATAAATGAGTCGAAACAGTATTTTCTCGAACAGAACCTGCCAGTATTGACAATCATCATCCGGGTACGCTTACAATTTCAAGATGGTATTGGCTTCTTCCGATATTATCTCGCCACCATTTGGCGTGCCGCCACTGTCCTAAGACTGAAATACGACAGCCGGCTAAGTAATAACGTTGTTCCGGCGCCTCGGAATAATTTAAAAAGCCATTACATTCTAGATTTAGCCTTACTGCTTTGGAAAACCGTATAAAACGTTTATCGGGGCACATTATGGAAAAACTACGGGGTATATTAACTAGGGGAATAACATTGGTCACTAGTAATGGCGAAAATAATCCTTTTAGAAAATAAGTATTCAGATTTTAATAATTTTAATACATCAGGATGTTCTTTTATAAAGAAGAGCTGCAGGTGGTTTGTAACTGTAACAATATTTATAATACAATCAAAATGTTTCATTATTTTAACATGTATTTTCTATTTGAAAATGTCAGCAAGTGTCTTAACAAGTTAAACAGCTTCAAATTATTCGAGTTCCATGTTCAGTTATGAGTATATATACGTACTAGCCTGCGTTCATTATGTATATATTGATAAATATGCGAGGAACCCCATAAGAGTCCTATGATGATCGGTCCGCATTTCCAAAATTTACCGACAATAATAGATCAGAAAAAATAAAAATGAAAACTGTTTTTGATCATGCAGTTGGGATTATTCATCTTAAAGAAACCATTTAAGGACTCAGTTCAGAGACTTTCAGAGTCTGTAAGATTGACTACATTCCATTTAATTTCACAAACTCCTTTCATATAATTGCAGACCTAAATTACCTACTAATTGAAAGTACATATATTAAAACTTTGAAGCAAGACTTGACTATATTTGTTTATAAATTATTGCATTGGTAAAACGAATACCCCAATGAATAAAAATTATCTATTTGCTAGTTATTCTTCGAATATTAAAGTCATAGAGAGTACAAATATTACTTAAATGCATTATAAACATAACTGTTTGATGCCGAATAGAATAAACGAACAGAAACTAGTACAGTTTTAAACATTTATACTTCTTCATCTATATTTTTTGTTCTTTGCCCAATTTCTCTGGTGTAATCGCAATGTCTTACATTGCTTGGAGTTTTTACTTCCAGTCCTTTTTGAGAATATAGATGCTCTAATAGAGACAAAGGAAGTTGTTACCAACTTCCTTTGTCGGTTTGTTGGTTTAAGAAAAACGAATACAGAAGGAGCATATGTCCGTTTTGTAATTTGCGAAGATATTAAATATTCCTATTTTATTTAGAATAATATACTAATATTCAAAAGCTATGTTATAGATTGTTTATAATTCTAGCATGAATTCTTGTATAAAATACTTTACAACCCAGGTTCTCGACATAACAATGCCTTATTTTCTTCGAGTCACAAGTATTTATTTTTGTTCTATTTATTTTAGACTAGTTTTATAGCTAATTAGTAAAGAAAATTAGAAGTGAAGAAGTTCGCTGTCTGTGGTTTTTTTCCAGTGTGGTTTATGAGTCTAGAAATTTAACATAAGTAGTTAATGCTTTTCGGGTCGTCAACATTAATGACGCGACACATTTATTTTAATCTGTGTGATGTGGGTAAACCGTCAGACAGACTATCAAGTGATGAAGCTGAAGGGCTCTAGAAAGAATAGTAGTAATTTGTGACCCACGACACTAGTAACAAACTAAGAGACCTTTTATCAAAACGTTGAGACTTCTCACAAACCTTTCTAAAGCAGAAATCTTTTAAGTACACTAATGATATTCTTTTGGTAATCGTATGTATAGAAGTTGAAGTCCTCCGGTTGAGATGTCTACGTCACGAGTGATAGTTGCCTAAAGATTCTGAACTATTTAGATGAACGAGTAATTTTATCTGAGACACAGAATGGGTCTTTTGGGAATTCATCAATCGTCAACAGCCTTCATAGGCCCTTCCTCAGAAAGGAGGTTACTATACCACGCTGGCCAGACGGGTTAGTATAGGGTTTGTTTCAAGTTTTCCTTCTCTTTGCAGAGCTGTTGTCCTGCGTAGTTGCTCCCTTAGTCGGCTATTACCACTCTCACGGGATGGGTAGGGGTGGTGACACTTCGTATTCTTAATCCGTCACCACACGGAATATTTTATATTTTAACTTTTATTTTATCGTGGGAGATTAATTTTTCGGCGCAAAGGGGTTAGCTCAACCGGGGTGATTCCACGGCCTCACAGAAAACCGGTCGTTAGCTATCTTTCGTTGTTTTTCACTGAGTGTAATTACCGGAGGCATATTGTTTCTTCAGAAAATCTTTGTAACGCAATTTATTTTTAAATATGTTTACTCGTCACCTTTTTCAATAACAAAAACAAAAGCAAAACATTAGAATTTCAATATTTTTTCATCCTATCTGTGTTTATTTTGCATCTTTTTTTTTTTTTTTCCGTGCGGAAATCCCCTCGGATACCACCTGTCGGTGGCATGTCGGACTCGAACCGACTAAAACCGCACGCCGTCTTGGGTACTAATAGCCGGGGAACCAGGTATACCCTAGAAAGGAAGTCCCTGGTACCTGTTTATTTTGCACCTGATAAATTTATCGTTCATTTTACTAGTTTTAGTACACGATTTGATTCAGATACATGAAACAACTGTAGGGAAAATACATGATTCAAAGTATGAAAAGATATTTTTGAACGTTTTCACTCATTATTAATAATCCTTAACTTTATTGTACATGACACATTTCCGTAAGATCCTGGTGTGCGAAAGAGTAACAGGCAAGTATCCTAGCCGATTCACGGAGCCTGTAAACGCCCTGAAGGCTTATGTACTTCTCGAAAGAGCTAATGTGGCTCAATTAGCCAACCATTTTTGAACGCATATACGAGTATAATGGTTGTTACTCTAAATTTAGAAACAGAGCCCTCCACCAATAATAAATATGCCTTCTTGACAAATTTACTATTAATAAGCTATTGCCCAAGAATGAGATCTTATCCCTCGAGATCAGCAATTTTCAGCAAAGGTACGCTTTGACCTTTTATGTACCCCTGATAACTTTTATCGATTTGAACGTTGCCATTGAACCGATAAAAATTTAATTATTATTGGTTCAATGCTTGTCAAAGATCATGATATCGGTTAAAACATGAACACACTTTAATTATTTTTAGTTTTTTTTTATGTTAGAGGGGGCAGACAAGCAGACGGGTCACCTGATGGAAAGTGACCATCGCCGCCCATGAACGTCTGCAGCTCAGGATTCATAAACGCGTTGCCGGCCTTTTAGGAAGGAGTAGTTAATTAAGTTATCGTTTTTCATATACACTGGATTTAACTATGTGATGACGGATTAAGAATACAGAATGTCATAACCCCTATTCATCCCGTGGGTGTCGTAAGAGCCGACTAAGTCAGCAAACTACGAAGGACAACAGCAGTGCAGAGAGAACTAAAACTTGTCACAAACCCTATACCAACCCGTCTGGCCCGCGTGGTAGTAGTAGGCCAAAACCTCCTTTCTAAGGAGAGGCCTATGTCCAGCAGAGGACTAGTAAGGGCTGTTGATGATGATGACGATGATGTAGACTGGATTGTAGGGAATGACACCAAGACCTGCCACCAAATCTATGTTAAGCAGTGAATGAGGTAAACGAATATCGAAAACTCAAAGCCGTCAAGCACTAGTGGCTTATAAACATATAGAGGTATGATATCCTAATTTTAAATTTTGTTCACAGTTTTCGGACAACAACGCGACAATCAGCACTCTCAACCTGGTGCCGATGGCTGAAGACCACGAGAAGTACCTGGTGTGCAGGGCAGAGAACACTAAAGTAAAGATGGTGAACGCTGTGGTGGAAGATAGGTGGCTTCTCAATATACACTGTGAGTTATATAAGCATTTATATTAAAACTAGTGTGACAGGTGACCTCAGCTGAGACGTGTTCTGATGGTGGCTGGCTGCCAGTTAATTCTCGCTAATTGAAGTATGACAAGCCTTAAGCAAAGTAACAAGAGAGGAGAGAGAGAGGTTATAAGAGGAACGTTTATTTTTGTAATAGTAAGTATTATAGATCTCCTGTGGCATCTGATCTGCTGGACTAGTGGTCAGATCTGGTGGTCGAATTTTGGTTATAGCTTATTACGTTTTAAGTTGTTTGTTTATTTCATTGGCTTGTACATTTTAAGCTGTCCTTATCTATATATATACATATAAGAGATTTCCACGTATATAGTCACTCATCACGATATCTCTGGAACCATTAGAGCTAAAGACTTGAAATTTGGTAGGAATATTCTTTTCACCGAGTAGAGGTCAGTTAAGAACGGATTTTAAGAAATTCAAAAAAAAAATAATCAAATAATGTAAATAGCAAACCAACGTTTGCAGGGTCAGCTAGTCTATATATATATATAAGAGATTTCCACGTATATAGTCACTCATCACGATATCTCTGGAACCATTAGAGCTACAGACTTGAAATTTGGTAGGAATATTCTTTTCACCGAGTAGAGGTCAGTTAAGAACGGATTTTAAGAAATTCAAAAAAAAATAATCAAATAATGTAAATAGCAAACCAACGTTTGCAGGGTCAGCTAGTCTATATATATATATAAGAGATTTCCACGTATATAGTCACTCATCACGATATCTCTGGAACCATTAGAGCTACAGACTTGAAATTTGGTAGGAATATTCCTTTCACCGAGTAGAGGTCAGCTAAGAACGGATTTTAAGAAATTCAAAAAAAAGAAAGCAACGTTTGCAGGGTCAGCTAGTACATAATAGTGTCCATGCCAATATAGAGTTACTTTTTGCTCGTTTTCACGTGATTTTGAAATTTAAAATACACATTGTTTAGGCGAATTAGATTTCTGCACTTCTTCTATAAATAAACTTAAGTACATATTTTAAATTTCACGTTCGTCCGCTCGCGTGGTATTTTCTTTAAAAATGATTCCACAGGATTCTCTTTAAATTTTATTTCATTATTATGTTATACCAACATAATAAATTACAGTATTTAGTTATATATAAATTCGTGTGACGATATCTGGATGTTCTTTTTCACATAGACTCATATAGAACCACCCACCGGTGGCAATGTCGGACTCGAACCGACTAAAAACCGCACGCCATCTCGGGTACTAATAGCCGGGGAACCAGGTATACCCTAGAAAGGAAATCCCTGGTACCCCGACAGACTCATATAGAACTGTTAAGATTTCATGAACATCATTACAGTAGTTTAACGACATTGACCAAAACTTGAAATAGAACGGCCTTGCTTATCGATACGTGCACCAATTGCATTTTAAAAGATAAAATATACTATGCACTAAAAATACTCCGCTCAGTGCGTGTTGTAAAATAAAAAACGAAATAATTTATTTCGAATTGTATAGAATAGTATAAATTCTTCTTACCTAATAGCAAGCCAATGTACCCAGTTTCTGAGAAGTGCTGGCTTTGCCTTATATTCGCATTCCATTTCAAAGGAAAAATTACTGCGAATAATAGATCCATGATTATTTGTTTTTTGGCAAAAAACGTTGTATTCTCCATACCCACTTGTGTGCACTGACACCTGCTCTTTACATAATTAGAGTGTAAGATACATGGACACAGAGTGGATGATCATGGACACACATTAGAAAAAAACGTTATATACCTACGTATATGTTAATGACGACCGGATGGCGTAGTGGTTTATGTAACGGACTGCTATTCCAAAGGTCGCGGGTTCGATTCCCGCTCAAGTCAAACATTTGTGTGCATGAACATTTGATGTTTGATTTGGTCTGGGTGTTTCTATGTATAATGTGTATGTATTTACAAAAAAAAAGTATATATGTATTTATATCAGTTGTCTAGTACCCATAGTACAAGCTCTGCTTAGTTTGGGACTAGAAGGCGTTGTGTATGTGAAAAAAAAAAAAAAAAAAAAAAATGCAAATGAGAATATTATTGCCTAACCGCCATATTGATTTGCAATTGGAATTAACTGCGCTAAGAAACGTACGGTTAGAATAACGGTTAAGATAAAGAGGTGTAGTGTTGTAAATATAATTTATGTATGCAACCATAGTAATGAATTATAAGGAATAAATATTCGGAGGAAATATTCAACCTCGCGGATGGCGTAGTGGTTTAATTGGTCGCCACGTCGCTTCCTACTACGCTGAGTGTTTTTGGTTCTATCCCCACTCGGGACGGCACTCTGATCCACAAACTGTTGTTCTGAGTCTGGGTGTTATTTGTGTCCGTTTCACGTATATTTGTAAAGTCCCCCGCGACACAGGATTTCAGCCTAATGCGGGAGAAAAACAAAAAAAAGTAAACATATGGTTAGATATAAAAAATATTATATAATTGGTTGTGGTAAAATGCCGATTTTCAGTGAAATAGAAAAATTCTGTTTATGTTGTTTCTTTGAAAATAAAGTTTCACATAATTTTTTAATAAAATGTGTTGTTTCCTTTTTATTAATGAATATTAACGATTCCAGTCTTTTATAAATTAATCTGCATCCTTCGCCAATCCGTTTTCATCTCTTTCAAAAAAGTCTGTTTTATGCACTATCTCTTAGATAAAGCCTCTTAGATGGAATACAGTACTTTACAAAAATCTATTTATAACTAATATAATAGAAAGTTATAATATAATATTAACAATAATAATAAAGAGCAATGAAAGGAAAAATATATCTTATGTAAAATTCTCAGTAACTATTCGGTGTACTTAGAAAAAAAAGCCATATAATATAATTGAACTTTGAAGAACTAAACTGAAGTATTTTATAAGAAAATATTATTAATTTAATATCTCCAATATTATAGTATCAAATCTTTGAGATTCTACGCTTTGACTACTGCACCTATCAATATGAAATTTAGCATAAGCATAGTTAGGGGTACAGAATGGGACATAGGGTACTTTTTATTTCTTTTTAACTCTGAGTGAGTGAAGTTACAATCAAAAACTTTTATCCCTTCTAATTCTGGAGGGGACTGGAGGGGGACTAGAAAGGGTGAACATACTTGTGACTAATGAGTTGCAGGTATTCAGTTTAACGAGATTATATTTCCAAATTGGGTTGATTTTTTTAAATAACAGTTACAGTATGTTGTTACGAATATATTTTGCTTCGGCAAAATGGAAATTGCGATGTACCAATGGAATATTTTAAAAGAGATAAAAATCGGGCTGTTTTTTCATGTTTTTTGTGTTTCTATTTTTATGTTTGTAAAATCCTATGTTACACTACTGTATACGTTGCAATTATTTTTTTAGGTTTTTTTAAAAGGACTTCCTCAGACCAAATGGTACAACTGGTTTTCATCCCCTTAATATAATATACCTCTGGGAATGATATGTCCCTCTGATTGGAAATGGATTGTTAAAACTGGGACGTGTGGGTGTGTGTAGTTAGCGGACATGAATAGACATGTCAATCAGGCTGATGCGTCTGTCAGAATCAGATTCCTACATTCAAAATATTTGCCTGAGTTTGTTTAGTTTATAAAGAAGATCCAATGTTCATTATAAACTTGGGCATATTCGCCCTAGATATAAAAGTAACGATTGTTGATGCTCGAACACTCAGGAATATTAAAAGTGATGATATTTGCATATACATATATGTACATGGAAAAGGGAAAATAGAAATAAATAAACTTTATTATACACCAGCGGAATTTTTACTAGAAATAGGGTGATATGAGAAAAATAAACAACATAAACCTAAACATAAACATAATATGACAAAATAAACCTAAAGTTTTCGGTACTTTGTAGATATTTAATAAATATAGACATTTCTTGTAGACTTTTCTTAATCATAGTGTCAGTGTTTTTTAACTGGTCCAATACCCTTAAACATCAGTTTCATGTCTTTAAATTACGTCTGGTTATAATAAACAGTCGTTCAGCAAAATTCGATTATTTTAGTTACACTATCTAGATTAAAAAAAAATCTTACCATAATCCAACAATAAAATATTTTTACTAAGTTATTAATATCGTTCATGAAAACGTTTTCGTTTGAAAAGATTCAATCACTCGGAACATTTCATAAGGACAATAAATAGATTCAGAATTCCGGCATTACATCAGAGAAATGTCTTGCCCACGCTTTATGAATGTCGTTTATAAAGTTGGCGTTGAATGAAACTAAACATTTTTTTTCTGTGAAGTAGGGAGCAAACGAGGCCACGGGTCACCAGTACAAGGGTCACAAGTGTGTCGGCATACCCTGAGTACCCTCCCTCCAGAGAATCAGGAAGGTTTATTTTGTGTTTTTAAAGACAACTCGCGTGCTAGGAATGTATCGTGTGTCGCGGGGACTTTACAAACATACATTAAACGAACACAAAAGACATCCAGACGAAAACAACAATTTGCAGCTAATTAATTTACTTTGTGTGCAAAGTATTGTCCCATGTGGGAATCTAACCCACAACACTCAATGCTGTAGGAAGCGGCGAGCTGACCGCTTAAACCCCTACACCATCCGTGCAGTTTGGACTCAACCAACTCACTCGGTGTAAGCAAAGAAAGAAATTGTCTGCACGGATAGCGTAGTATTTTAAGCGTTCACCGAATTATTATATTTTTAAGTACATTTAGATTTTTAGTAACTTGGTTTACAGTAATGCACATTGTTAGCTGGCTAGTTTTAATGATGATTTTTACAATTAATCAATCTTGGGTGATACCGCAGTAATGAATTTTGTGGATATGATCTCATTTGAGATAGACCATATGGCTTGGGAGAGGGTCGCTGGACATCGCGATTTTTTAGGTGACTGCAAGAATTAAGACTCAGACTGCATGAATGGCGGAGTGTTAAAGTATTGGTTTTTCATTTCTCATTTGTTTTTATACGGTCATTTATGTATACACGGTAATTTTTCAAAAACTGACTTCGAAAAGATATAAATAATCTTTGAAACGGTTTGTGTTTCGTATCAAATTTTGTGCTCAATCGGTGCAGAACTTTTTGAGTATTTGTAAAGTATAACATTATTATAAATATAGATATCAATTTCTAGCAAAGTCAAAATCACTAGAATTTATTAATTAATTAAGAATGAAGTCCTAGTAAGACTATTATTCAAAGTAACTAAAAATAGTTCGTAACAACGAAGTAAATTTTAGATAATAGCTAAGGATACAGAGAATTTACAGTAGCAAATTATTGTTTATAAATAGATCTGTGTTTTGTCATCAGATGTACCAATCGTTACCCTAAAGTTGGGGTCGAACTTAAACCCAAGTTACATCAAGGAAGGAGATGATGTATACTTCGAGTGCAGCGTCAAAGCTAACCCAAAATCGAAGAAGTTGACCTGGTATAAAGGGGTAAGTGGAGTTTAAACTAACAAAGACTCTAAATCGAAGAGTAATGTCAGAAATAGTGGGTTCATCAAAATCAATTTCAATATATCTTTATTTCATAAAAATATTAAAATAATATTTGAAATCGTCTTTTATGTAGACTGTATGTAGTAGTCATAGTGTATGTAGTCATAGATCAACACACACAATAGCAACAATCTCTGTTTTGTCAAATATTTAATATAATAAATTTAATACATTATATGCCTGTGCCGATCTATAATCCCCGTTTCCATCAGGGGATGAGCGTTATGGGAATAAATGGCTAAAACCTTACGGCCATTTTTTTTATTTACAGCTAGATACAGTCGCATCTTTAAATATACTCTTATAACAACATTGTTTTGGGATGTGCCTGCATGTCAGTTATTAGGAGTAAATGGTTTAAGCAATATAGGGAAACAAGATAAAAGAAAAAAGATGGAATACAATTAAAAGTGAAGTAAAACATTTAAGATGAGAAAAAAAAACACACTTGCTCACGTTACATTTTCACTTAAGAAATAGTCGGTGCTAAATTAATCCCATCATGCTTGTCTTCTATGTAACCCACAATCGAGTAATAGGCTTGACACAGCCTACGCTTCACTGTGGATTTAATTATTTTTTATACTTAATTTGTCTTGTATTTTACTTTCGATTTTATTATAAAATCAAAAATTTGCATTCATATTTAACGATGTAATCCGCTTTGGTCTGGGTCTTATTGCATGTATTATTTGTATTTATCTATTTTGAGGTCAAAACTATTTTAAACCGGTATTAAAAAACAAAGAGAATAAAAATAACTTTCTAAGGAGAGGCCTATGTCCAGCAGTGGGCTATTAAAGGCTGTATTAATTGATGATTAAAATATGAGTGACGTTACAGCATCCTTCTGATTCCGGGAGGGGGAGTCACTTCCCATCAAGTGACCCTTAAGGTCGTTAGCATCAAAAATGCGATTATACCTTAAAGTAACAAACTGCCCGGAAATATAGAATAATGATTTTGCAGGTAAAAGAAATCCAACACAATGCAAGTGCTGGAGTTATCCTCAGCGACCAGAGTCTAGTTCTGCAGAGCGTGTCTCGATCGGTGGCTGGAGACTACAGCTGTCTTGCGTACAACAACGAAGGAAGTGCAACTAGTAATCCAGTGTCGCTTCAAGTTAATTGTAAGTTTTTTTAATAGTACATGAGTAAGGCGAAAACATACTTGTGATCAGATGATTTCGAGTTTGACTCTGCAAAGCGTAAACTAAACTATTAACTTATCGGCTTAGTTGAATGTGTATGTGTCTTTAAAATAGTAACAAAAATTTTGAGTCATACCAAAATTTATTGTTACAATCACTGGAACACGTAAGGCTCTGAAAGGCATTTTATATGGTGCAACTGCGGAGCATTCAATTGCAACGTCATTCATCACAGGTTCGATATCATTTCCATTCGAATATTTATATATACGATATGTCAATATGTATTGATGTAGTTGTTTTTATATATTTGTAGCGAATACATATACAAGAAAAAGTATCTAAGTATTTAATAATATTATAATTTAGTGTACTTACGAGGATTGCGTAGTCAAATCACATCATATCATCATCGACAGCCTTTAATAGTCCACTGCTGGACATAAGCCTCTCCTGAGAAAGGAGGTTTTGGCCTGCTACACCACGCTGGCCAGACGGGTTGGTAAAGGGTTTGTGTCGAGTTTTCCTTCTCTCTGCAGTGCTGTTGTCCTGCTTAGCCTTTTCCCACAGTCGGCTCTTACGACACCCACGGGATGAATAGGGGTGGTGACACTCTGTATTCTTAATCCGTCGCCACACGGACCATACACACATCACATCATACACACATCACAAATTGTTGTTCTGAGTCTGGGTGTTCCTTGAGTCCGTTTAATTTATATTTGTAAAGTCCCCCGCGATACAGGATATATTCCTAATGCGGGAATTGTCATTTAAATGAAAAATAAAAAATATCATAACAGGTGACGAAATCTAGGTGTACTGCTTTGAACCCGAAAGAAAAAGCCAGTCGATAGAGTGCGTCTTTCCTTTTAAAGATTTGCCGACGAAAGTTAAGAAAAGTCGAAAATCCTGAGATTACAAGTATTGCTTGAAGATCAAAGGACAGTGACTGCAGATTAGTACGTCAACACTTGCTCGCCCAGATTCTTAGAAAAAGTTCGCGAAAAGCGTCCTCGAAGCAATGTCCTCCTTCGCCACGAAAACGCATCCTCACATTCCGCTAAGGTATACGTTTTAGGAGCCCTGAATCGGCGGTGAATGCGTTACATGAAGCAATTGAATAGGTTCCTATGGAAGACTGGTCCAACTGCTTTGTACAGTAGTTTCAGCCAATGCAAAACTGCATTAATTGCGAGGGAATATACTTTAAAAAACAAAAAATGTATAGTACGTCTTATACGAGTATCTAATCTTATTTATTATAATCCAGAAACTTTCAGTATGCCCTAAGTAAATATAAAAACAAACTTAAACGTCTAAACATTCAGTTTTTGTTCATGGGTCCACGTGAATTCATATCACAAACCTGCTCTATATATTGGCACAAGTTGGCAACTCCTGTCACAATTTACATAACTTACCACTTAACAAGACATGTAATGGCTGACAAATTGTTATTCCAATCTCAGCGTTAGAAATTATTCTAATTTCATGCTTAACAAACTATTATGGTAGTGTATGTAGTGTATATACATATGTATATGTAGCTCTTTATTTGGTTAAATTAGTTAATTACGTGGGATATATACTAATGTGGTTAGTTAAAACTGAGTGACTACCGCCTATAGGCATTTCTCACAGGTATCTTTATGTTGATTATCATCATCATCATTATCAACTGCCTTTAATAGTCCACTGTTGGACATGGGCCTATCCTTAGAAATGAGGTTTTGGCCTACTATACCACGCTCTCCAGACGGGTATAAGTTTTGTGTCAAGTTTTTTTTCTCTTTGCAATATTTTGTTCTGCGTAGTGTGCTAACTTAGCGGGCTATTACCGTACCCACAGTTGACTATATAATATATATAATGGTATAAAGTTAAAAAAAAAACTTTCGTGGTTTTTACCCATTTATACCCATTTAGCACATAATTTTTTAAGACCCACCGTTCCTACCTATCTTTCCTAACGAGCTGTAGTCTAAAATAATTATATACATACGTCTGCGTCCCGAAAAGGATAGACAGGACCTTATTAAACACGCACATATTGCTAAGTAAAATAATCTGACCCTACTTACGTGATATGGAGCAAGCCAATTACTGTCAACCAGAGATTTTTGGGAATTAAAGACAGCAAAATGAGAATACAAATGAGAAGGCAATGCAATAAAGGAAAAGATATTTTCTTTATACGTAAACAATATCCCGAGGAGATCAGAGTCTTACACCTGATCTGTAACTGGAGCTGGCTGTTGTTGGCTAGTTTGAGGTATTTTATTGAGACATCTTTATCTTATTTTCCTGCCAGATGTTCCTGTATGCAAAACGGTGAATGACGGAGCAGTATACGGAGCTCTAAAGATGGAGACAGTTGTACTGCAGTGCGTTGTAGATTCCAGCCCTCCGCCGACATACTTCAGCTGGTTCTTTAACAGTTCTGGAGAACAAACGGAAATATTGCCAAGGTAAGAATTTTTGTCCATAAATTCTTCATGGTATGTCTACAAATATTTTATATTATTATAATATTTGTTCTTGTTTAAGTTAAAAAGCTAATCTTTTTCCAAAGAAAAGCGACGAAAATCATTGAACTAATTACTACGTAATTCAAACTCAAACATCTTTATTTTATAATAATAATTCATGACTAATAACTATCGGAAATATATCCTGAAAGATGGTACGGTTGACATCTGTCGGGCATGCCACCGTCCTGGCGAATCAATCAGGCATATTATTTCTGGTTGTTCTCGTCTTGCTAACGGAGAATATTTGCACAGGCACAACCAAGTAGCCAGGATCGTACACCTCACCACACACATCGATCCTTAAATACCATCTTGTGAATCTAGAGGTGCCATACTACAGGTATGTGCCCGACCCAGTTCTCGAGAATGGTCGGGCCACGTTGTATTGGGATCGATCTATTATCACAGACAGGACTATTGTTGCCAATAAGCCTGATATTGTGCTGATAGATCGATTAGAGCGCCGCGCAATGATTGTTGATATCGCCGTTCCTCATGACGAGAATCTCGTGAAAGTTGAAAAAGAAAAACAAATTAAATATTTGGATTTATCTCACGAGATTGTCGATATGTGGAATGTCGATTCAGTGATCATTGTTCCGATAGTCGTATCTGCTCACGGATTGATAGCCAAGAGCCTCGACCAACACCTTAAGAGGCTCACGTTGGATGGCTAGATCAAGCGTCTGATGCAGAAGGCAGTCCTCCTTGACACGGCTCGTATAGTGAGGAGGTTCCTATCTTTGGAGTCCTAACCACCGGTGTCTTGGTCCCTGTACCCGATGTCGGTGGTCTACTATTTTTTATATTTTTAAATGTATTTTTTTATAATTTTTTATAAAGTGTATGTTTAAAAATGTAAATAATATGTATATAAAGTAAATAAAGAGAATAATAATTCATTTATTCCATCAAGTAAAATTATTTTAACAGTCTTTAAAAGTGTTTACAAGTATTTCAATATTGTATGTGGGTCACCGCTGTGCAATCCCGGCAGAGACAGCACAGCAGCGACTCACATACGTACAATCCAGCCTACTCGATATCATGCGTAGGATGCTGTTAGTGCTGGCCGGAACCCTGCGCACCAGGGATGCACACCTCTTCCACATCGTTTCGTAAAAGCAGTTTACGTTATAAAATTCCCCCAAAAATTGTTTGAAATCGTCTTAGAGTCTAAAGTCATAGATCAACAAACACAATGGCAATCTGTTTTGTCAAATGTTTAGAATAATGAAGTTAATCTATTATGTGTTTGTGCCGATCTACAACCGCCCGTTGTAGTAATGTGTAATTTTAATTTTATGAAAAATTTAATTGATTAGAGAAAAATTATCATTTTTTTTCTTTTGTAACGTTTCCCATCTATTTGTTGGTGTAGCCGCAGATAAATAAAAATGTAAAGCGTTTTTATAATAACAGTTTATATTGGATAACATTTTTTCACATAATTTTTATTTATTTTTATTTTTCACAAAGCCGCAGTCTGGAGCATCGTGTAATTATGTTTCCGTACCCAATGCTTGCATACGTTGCAATGCATTTAAAATAATAATATTCTAGCTGTGGTAGGCAGAATCGTATACATAAAATAATAAGATCTTAATGAAAACATAATCACGTACTTTATTGTTTGCTTCTGCCTTGATTGCCTGGCAGTAGCCAGTTACGATTACAGTCACTATATAAATGTAAGGTATAGCCAGGCAATCCATAAAAATAAAGACATGATCATATAAAATCCCCGTTAAAGTTTCAGTGAGTTGTAACAATAATAATAATAATTTTATATAAATTAAACGATGTTTCTTTAGTTTCGGTTATTGCACACATACATGGAGACTCAATAGATCGAAAAATTGGCTCCTGTCTGAGTTAAGGAAAAAGCTTCTGGCCATCCCTAGATAAATCATCCTGAAGTAACCAAGTGTATAAATTATATAGACTATCGAACTTTATCTGTATTTAGTTTCGTTTATTTCAACTATGATTTATTTGCAGATTGAGTAACGGTATCTAATTTATCTTATGATAATTATAACATAAGATAACCCTTGTACTCATATTAGGGGTTAAAGTATGACATTGCTGATTTGTACTGAAAAATTGAAACTTGTTTTTTTCTAACATGTAACATATTTATTTAATCAAAATATCTATCCTAATTATCTATACCTTGCTGCCATCTACACCAAAGTTCATTTAGACCTTTACGATGGACCTCTTGGGATCTAGATTCAGCAACCTGTGGGAAAGCATTTTGTAGTGCGTCCTGGGAAGAACTTTTTTTATCAAGTAGAAAATTGTCCAAATCACGAAAAAAAATGGTAGTCCATTGGAGCAAGATCTGGCAAGTACGGAAGAAAACGTATGGTTTCTAACTGCAGCTCCTGTAGAGTTACAACGGTTTCTCTTGCAGTATGAAGTCTTGCGTTATCATGGAGCAATAATGGTGAAGATCGATTCACGAGTCGGGGCTGTTTCACTGCCAGTTTCGCAATCATTGTTCAAAGTTGAGACAGTAAACATCTGCTGTTATTGCCTGAATAGACCTGAGAAAGCTATAGTGAATAACACCATTAAGAGACCATCAAACAGTTGCCATTAAGTTTTTATTGGTAAGCTTTGCTTTAAGGCATTGTTGCGGCGTTTGACCTGGGGTCAGCCATTGCATTTTTCACTTACGGTTATCGTAAGCAATCCACTTTTCGTTTCATGTCCCAATTCGATCCAATATTCCTTCATTTTTGTACCGATTTAACAAGACAACACAAGTTTCAACACGCATTTCTTTCTGCAGATCAGTCAAAACATGTGGCACCCATTTTTCATATTTCTTTTATCTTATTTATTTGATGCAAATAAGTCAATATTGTAAGTATGGTAACGTTAATCCATGACGCTAATTCCTAGGTGGTTTGATGAGCTTCTGATCGGCTTCCACCATCTCCTTCCATTCAGCGTTATTCACCTGCGTGGGTGGTCTTCCGCGCGGTCTTCCGGGCGCTTAGTGACTATTCATTTATTTGAAATCATTTTTTGTTTATGCATAATTTTCTTTTTTTTTCTTTTTTTCATTTTTTTCTTTTTTTCTTTTTTTGGTATTTTTTTTCATTTTTTTTTTCTAAGGAGAGGCCTATTTCCAGCAGTGGACTATTAAAGGCTGTTGATGATGATGTGATGTGATACCTTTCTCTTGGTTTATTTCATTGAAAAAATAAAGAACATAAAAAGAACATTTATTTGGTTTGTTTTAGAACATTTTGAGCATCCTACCAGAAAATATACAGGTGGCCGGGCTGCAACGTATACGGTGCAGCCCGGCCACAAACAATTTCTTTTTAAACAATTATTCATTAAACAATACGTCTATAAATTACGAAATCGACTGTGGCCGGGCTGCAACGGAACACACCCATCTTTCACGTCAAGCTAAATAAAAAAAAGACATTTGCAAGTCGAAAATCGAATGTTTCACGTTTTTTAAAAGAACCTCATAGGTATCATGTGAAATAAGTTTCTCACTAAAATCTCACACCATGAAGATTTTATGTCAATTCAAAGTATTTATTACTATACAACGGCAATTTCATACTTTAACCCCTATTATTTCCATCCTATACATCCGTCTTTTTGTCTGCTTGTCATTTAAATGTATCTGAAGTAAACTAATAGCTTTATATTGGTAACTCTAGGATGATTGGTGTTCTCTATGATTCAATTTAATGTTCATAGAGAGTTGCTGAGCTTGAGAGTAGGGGGTATCAAAAATAGTCCTCAATAACCTACGAAAGACCTTTAAAAATATAAAATGCCAAAAAGTAAAAAAAACATCTTACTCTTTACTGAACTTACAACATTTATTTAAGCAATAGCTAGAAATCTCTGGTTATTCCATTGCTACATCCAAGGTTATAATATTTTTCTCGTGCAGGACTCGAATAAACTATACATGCATTTATGAACTGTTTACTCGGATCGGAATTACACTACGATATTCTACCTTAGAATTCTATTCAGTTATTTATTCTTTTGATAATAATGGAGAGTAGATATTTCCTATGAAACTTGTAGAATATTATCAGAAGTTATTGCACAACAGAAAGCTAATTATTTTTACCGTGCCCTTTCCATAATTAAATATCTTTTTAAACATCTTTGAAATATATTTCTTACGCGATTATAAATATTAATATAATTATATTTATTGTGTCAGTTTATACACCAACTCCGGCAACACGTCCACCCTTCGGTACACCCCGAGTACTGACGTGGACTTTGGGACTATACTGTGTTCTGCAGTTAATGCTGTTGGGAAACAAGAAACTCCTTGTATTTACACACTTGTTGCAGCAGGTAAGAAAACATTAATAGAGTGTAAACACCGATATGAAAGTCATATTAAATTGCCAAATCAATTTATGTTGCATCTTTGTCTATCTTCTTTATTCAAAGTGACTAAAATTATGACAGAATAATCATGATTATGATTTTGTCATTCTTTCGTTCTTATTATGTACAAAATTTCTCTGGTATTCTTCTGGGTCCTCTTTTGTTGTAAGAGCATCATGAGGTAAAATAATATTTACTATAAATAGGAACCTTTTAAAAACACTTTTTAGACTGCACGGGTGGCGTAGTAGTTTAAGCGGTCACCACGCGGCTTCCTATTACGCCGAGTGCTGTGGGTTCAAACCCCACATGGGACGACACTTTGTGTGATCCCCAAATTGTTGTTCTAAGTCTGTGTATTATTTGTGCCCGTTTCATGTATGTTTGTAAAGTCCCCCGAGACACAGGATAAATTCCTAATGCGGGAGTTGTCTTTTACAGTAATAAAAAAATTAAAATACTTCCCAAAAAAAAAATTTTCTTTTTTAACTTGTGTGTTTTTGTGTAAGGACTACAATGGATTTTGGTTTCAAATTGAAAATATTCAAACCGACATGTTTATTGCATACGCAAGAAAATCCCCAAGAGTTAAAAGAAAACTCTTATTAAAATACTGTAATGTACATTATTAATCAATCTATCCAAAAATTGGTCAACCTTCTTGTGTATCAACAAATATTTGAATCTTTTCCTCAAACTTTTAGCAAAATTTATAAATCTATCATTGAGAAAGCTTACTTAGGAATGCAATTTATTCCTAGGACTAGTACATTTTGATAAAATGGAATAATAAAAACAGAATCTCTTAAGTCGAACTGTAACGTTCACGTACGGCAGTACGTACTCAGGGACGGCAGTCACGTATCCCTTCTCCCTACCACTTACATCGGGTCTCCGACCCATATCAAAACTGCGTTAGTGTACTAAAAATAGAGCAGTACCTTCAAAAAAGTTAAGTAGATGTTTGGGCGATGCGCAAAGTGACAAATTCCATTCAGATAACTTTAGTAAAAAGAAATAAAAACGGCTAATCCGAATGTGGTAATATTATAAACTCACACACCGTTACATCCAACCTTTATGAATGTGAAAATACTGATCGTAATAAGCACAATATTTAATTGTGAGAGTTTGGGGGGGGGGGGTCCAGATCCCCCCAGTTACTTGGATTCTAAATCGTGCTAAAGAATAAGATTTAAATATTCTCGAAAACCATTTCCTTTTCGGTAGTTGTTGTTTAAGAATAAAATGTAAAAAAATTGCACACGTTACTTGTTATTTAGGTCATGTGTAGTATTTTGGTTAAGGTCGTCATTTGTAAAGCTTCTCTACGGTTCAGCAGGTATCCCAACATCCTTGCAAAATTGCTCTGTCGTGAACCAGAGCTACACTCTCGTGGTGGAGTGCTTAGAAGGGTTCGATGGAGGGCTTCCGCAGGTGTTCTATATGGAAGTGCTAGAGCTACCTTCTCTGATGGTGAGTATATTTTCATTGATGTTTTTTTTGTTTTAGTATCTAAACCTATGTGTACATAAACTGATTTATTTGTACAATTACTACTACCACTGCGACATGAGTGCTGCCAAAGATATGGGTGGCGAATTACTGGTATTTAATTTGCCTCAGGTTCGTGTGGTGACGGATTAAGAATACAGAGTGTCACCACCCCTATTCATCTATTCAAAAAACTACGCAGAACAACAGCACTGCAGAGAGAAGGAAAACTTAACACAAACCCTACACCAACCCGTCTGGTCAGCGTGGTATAACAGGCCAAAACCTCCTTTCTAAGGACAGGCTTATGTTCAGCAGTGGACTGTTAAAGGCTGATGATAAATGATGATGAATTTTTCTCTACCTCACCATCCACTATACAGTATTTTTATGCACTGCGTCTGATTCTTACTAATGTATTTCTGATATGCAATTTCACACAAACATACTTAAATATAAATATTATAGTAACTTTATTCTTATAATTAGGTTCGAGATAACATCACATCTAACCACACTCCAACCTTTGAAATCCACAACTGGGACAGCAGATCCAGCTACGCGTTGATTCTGTATGCAGCCAACGCCAAAGGTCGCAGTGAAGAAGTCAGCCTTTACACAGTCGCCATTAGATCCCCAGATAAATATACCGGTTAGTTGCATATAGGTACTATCATCCTGTAGAATATGTATGTTTTTCTGTGTTTATCTGTCTATTTTTTGGTGTTTAAGTGTGTGTTTTTCTATGTTTTTTCTAGAAAGAAAAAGATACTGAGATCTTGTTAGTACTTTAAAACATATATATATATATATATACATTACATACATTTATACATATGTACATTCAGTCAAAAAAGTATCGGGAATGGATGATTTGTTTACGGTTCCCAATTCAAATTCTTGTTTTATTTTTGTTGTTGTTAGATTGGCACAACTGTTTTCCATTTTGGCGCGGAGTTTGAGTTGCATCTGTTATTTATATTAATACAGTGCTGTTTTTAGTTATATCATATCTAGTGTGTATTGTGAATTTCATAATGGACAAAAACATCTAACAATGAGTTTGTCTTAAATTTTGCATAGCCAATGGAATTTCGAGATCGGAGTCACTGAAAATGTTACAGAAGGCTTACGGTGAATCGACTTTATCAAAAACACCGAAGTTTCTGTATCTCACGAGTCGATCCGTACCATTTTAAATAATCATTTGGGTACGAAGCATGTTACCGCTCGGCTAGTCCAAAAAGTCCTGAATTTTCTCCAAAAACTCAATCGCATGAGAGTCACTGAGGACATACTAGAACGAGTCAATTCCGACCATACATTCATGAAACGCATTTTTACTGGTGACGAGACGTGGGTTTACGAGTTTCACATACAAACTAGTCAACAAGTTTCGGAGTGGCGCCTTCCAACTGAACAGATACCGAAAAAACCACGCCGAAGTCGATCAAAAGTCAAAGTCACATTGATTGTTTTCTTTGACTATCGCGGTGTTGTGCACTCGGAATTCTTGCCGGAAGGTTAAACGGTCAATAAAGAATACTATTTGAGCGTTATGCGGCATTTAAGAGAGCAAATTCGACGAAAAAGGCCAGATTTTGTGGAAAGAAAATTCTTGGATTTTGCAACCACGATAATGCGCCTTCGCACAAGGCCCTCATTATGGACGAATTTTTGACCAAACACTCAACAAATACCATCGAGCAACCACCATATTCACTAGATATGGCTCCAGCCGATTTCTTTCTTTTTCCTAAACTCAAATTACCACCTCGTGGCACCCGTTTTCAATCGATAGAAGACATAAAGGAGAATTCGCGGCGAGAACTGAACTCAATTCCGGAAACAGGATTTAAAAAATGTTTTGATGATTAGATTATTCGGTGGCGTAAGTGTATCGTTTCTGAAGGAGCATACTTTAAAAGTGATATGATAAATTTGGATGAATAACAAACATTGTGTTTTATTGATCTTTTACCGGTACTTTCTTGACAGAGTATTACATTTAAACTCCAAAAAATTCTTCTACATTATTATGTTGTATGTGACTGCTGGCTGAATTTTGCAGTATTACCAACAGTAAAGATATGTGCACATATTTTATAACTTTAAAACTATATGCATACGATCTCAATGCTAATTCAGCGTATTTATTCAAAGCAGCGGCAACACGAAGTTTAAACGCGACAAATAACGAACAACAATGCTGAGGGAACCAACCTTCCTTAAATTTTCAACTACAATATACAATGTTATTGCATTCAGGCATTATTCACTACAATTTCCAAGAAACAGCAATTAGATACTGCAGTGTATAGCAGTTGCAATGTGATTTGAGGTCCTATTATTGCCTCGCCTTATATTTGTGAATCGAGTATTTATTTGCTTTTTTAAAAAGGTTTCAAAGGATATGTGCTCAAATTTTAGGTAGTCAGAAGAAATTTTTGCTTAAAATAAAATGGACTAGGCAACATACTAGAGTTGTTTTTATACCAACATTGGTCATTGCCTGGACCGCGTTATTGCTTGCTAAATTAGCTGTAAGGGGCCCTTTTCGTCGGTTACTACAACATGTTTGTAGTTGTATGCTTCCTTGTCAAATGTTGCGTAAACTTTGTGAAGAATTTTGTTACAAATATTATTATATTAGTCGAAAAAATCATTTCATCTGTATGAAATAGAAAGTTGTTTTTTTATAAAACAAAACATATCCTTTTTTCATTAAAATACGAGTATCTTTATTCTGTCTTAAATACAAGAGCTAGATATTTTCCAAGTACATTCTTTAAGAAAAAACATTATGAGGATTTAATTTAAATAAACATTAGAATGACATTATGAGATTAAAATAACCCACTTGAATTTTGATTAACCGTATTCTTTATAAGAGAATTCAAATTTGAATAATACCTACAGAAAATACTACGGGAACCTTTCAAATAAAAAATAAATATGCTAAATCGTTTTAAAACGACGGAGTTCTGAGGTAACAAACATAGAACTAAATATGTACAGCCGAATTCAACACCTTTAACCTTTTAAGTTGGTTAAAAATAAATCAGTATATATTATACGGTTTAATTTTAGCGCCCCCTTTCTAATTTTAGACTCTCAGAACGTATAGCTGAATAATAAATGAGCAATATGAACTAAGTTGAGTAAGTTATCCAATTTCGCTTCTGTCAATCTGTTATACATTAATACTATTTTCAGAATGGTAAAGGTTATTTCGTTGTACTTAACCAAGTTTCAGTTATTTTTGCTTTACTTTAAAATATAAACTTACATCTAAACTATCGCAGTATTATAATAATAATATTTAATTATTAATAATCAAAACCAAAACCTCTTTTCTATAGAAAGGCCTATGTCCAGAAGTGGACTATTGAAGGCTGTTGATGATGATGAATAATTAGTGAATTATAATAAAAAATAATATCGACTGCACGGATGGCGTGGTGGTTTAAGCGGTTACCTTGCTGCATCCTACTGAGCTGAGTGGTTCCCACAATACAACCCTTTGTGTGATTCATTAATTGTTGTTCCGAATCTGGGTGTTTTTTGTGTCCGTTTCATTTATTTATTTTTTATATTACCCGCGTCATTGTATGTATGTTATATGTTCATGGTGCGGGAGTTCCCTTCCTTAAATAATATAATAATAAGAATAATAACTAAACTACGAAAGGGTTTGAACGTCCTGTTTCACTTTCTTGATTGTTATAACTTAAACTGTTTTTGTGTTAACTTCTGTACTGTAACAGGTTAAAATTATATACTGGAACTATATACATATGTACGAGCCATCGTAGCCATTTTAACATAATTTTTGACATTTAAAAAGTAAAGTTTAAAAATTTTGGCTTTCTGCACTCCTACATACAAATATTTAGTATCCCAAATATATCGTACTTCCGCGCACCATATTTGTGTACAAAGGGATGCTAAGAATTTTCTTTTTGTATTAATAGACAGATTAATAGCACTAGCCGTGGTTACTTGGGCTGAGAATCGGCTTGCGATCATTGTAAATGCAACCTTGTCGAAACTTCTGGCAATTTCGAAGTATGAAATACTTATTGACGGCGACAATTGCAGAATTAACTCTGCACGGATGGCGTAGTGGTTTAAGCGGTCGCCACGCCGCTTGCTACTACGCTGAGTGGTGTGGGTCCGATCCCCACATGGGACGATTCAAGTTAAGCATTGAATCATTAAATATAAAAAGAGCAATTACACATTTTGTACGTATGATGTATTCTCAGGATTATGAAATAATATTTAATAAATTGAATTCATAGTACTTTAGGGATTAAAAAATAAAACAACCAAAAGAGGTACTGTAATACTATTTTTAATTATAAAGAATCGTCTTTTTCGTATGACCAGGAATCATCATCACTTGAGTTCTTAGTAATATTGATTATCAATTCTTCGACAGATAAATTGTCGAATGCAACATCCCGATCCCAATCCGACATTATCACCTTTTTTTTTTTTTTACAACACTCGCGCAGTTTTCAGGAGTTACTTTTACACACGCATTTTTAGTAAATCCAGCATTTTTCTTGCGGTGAAAGGAGGAGTTGTATTGTTCCTCGCAGCATATCCTTTAACTTGTGCCCAGATCATTTCAATTACATTATATTGGCAGTGATATGGGGGAATTCTGAGGACGGTAGTCCCATGCTCTGCTGCCATTTCATCTATTACGTATCGTTCTTTGTTTTTAATATCTTTACTAACTCTACTTTTAGTAGGGACTCGTCTACCTTCTCGCCATTGTCACGGAGCCAGTTTATAATTTCATGTTTTTTGTTGACGTTGGCATTTTATTAATTTGACGAGAGTTATAGGAGTCTTATGTCCAGCAGTGGACTATTAAAGGCTGTTGATGATGATGATGACTTTACACTTTAATGTCCGTCTTCCCTTGCCTGTAACACGGTCACGTGCCTAAGGACAGCTGACGTCAAGCAAACGACCGAATAATAAAGAAACAGCTAAAACCTTTCCCAACTTCAGGTCAAAATTTAGACGAAAAGATCCTAAGCAATTGCTGTGGATATTGCAGTGTTACGTTATCAGCACTCAACAGAACATACTACCTCCTATAAAGCACTTGCTCATTTTATGTGAGACCTACTCAAAGTTACGGGGTGCTTTGTTCTTTAGAAAGGCCATAAGATACAACTAAAAAGTTTAATTCTCTTTGCACATAAGTATCTATGAAAACCTGAATTACTGCGTCTAGATTTTTTTTCTAAGATAGTGTTTTGTTTTTCCCGTGGATAGATAGTAAAGTTTTTAGTTTCAGTAATTGGGCAAAACAAAGGGCATAAAATGTGTGATAAACTTGTATGTTTGAATTTATATTCTTTTTATTTCAATCTTTTGGCCGCATAAAACAAAACGTGTGTGCTTTAGACCACACGACTGAAGTAAAACTTCTTGGCTATGAAAGGCTCTCTCTCGCTCCTAAAGTAATATACTATCGTATCTATATCGTAACTCTCCCTTTCTATCTTCACTAACTTATATCTACCTCTCATCTTCCGTTCGCCTCGACCGATCACACTTTTAGTAACGCTCTCGTCACGCATTCACCAGCTTACTCCCCAAGTCAAGTATGCGTAAAGAAGTTTTACTTCAAAAACCTTTCCAAATCTATGCTGCCTTGATTGATAATCATTCAAAAATACATAGTTGCTCACGTACTAAATTATTTCTCCTTATTATCGAAGCTACCGAAATTATTTCATCGCGAAGGTTTTGCTAAAACTTTTTTGCATTCTATCTCTTCCTTTCTCTCTTTCTCTGATCACGGCTGAAGTCTCTTAACTATGAGGAAACTGCTAGCTTACTGTTTGTTCCTACATAGATATATTTCATTCATCTCATTCATCCAGTATTTACCGTGCTACTAGATCTGGTAGCTAATCAGCAGATACTGATCCCAAGATGAACTTAGGAACTAACTCTTTCGTAGGGTTAGCTCACACATATACACACACACACACACACACACATACTCACACACACACTCACCACACACACCACACACTCACACACACATACACACCACACACTCACACACACCCACACACACACCACACACACGCATACACACGCTCACACTCATATATATACACACACACAACACACAATCACCTACACACGCAGCATAAAACATGCACATATAACACCTACATTCCATATATATATCTTCTTACACACACCCATACACCGATATTTTGAGTCATATTACAGGTTTAGAGAATACAAATTCATTCATTCATTTATTTTATTTCACATGTATAATCACTTTACAAAATATCTCACTTGCTGCATCTTCTTGTCTAGAGCCAGGAGAGGCTGGTCATCTGTAATACAGGTTTTACCTAGTACGGATACCAGTCTCTCTCACAGATTAGCATTTTTCTTGTAATGTAAATTAATCTATAACTCTGTTACTAGTTTATTGATATTATTTTTCTGTGTGAGAGAAGAAAATAAATAAATATATTATTGAACAAGCCAATGTGATAATGCAAGAAGATTTGAAAACAATCAGCACAGAAGAGGGGCTTAAGCAAAAGTTTAACCAAGGCTATCAGAAGTTCTGGTTGCAGCGCAACATTGAAACATTATTGCTGTTCCATCATCATGCCTAGTCGTAAAGGTTCAGTGCAGTTAACAATATTTTGAAAAAACAAAGAAACCGTTTCAAAATCACTGAAGGCAGAAATTTATTTATTTAAACTCATCAATATTGAACCAGATTTATCTAGATTGGTAAAGTTCACCGGGTTCATCCATCACACATTTTTTTTATCTTTACTTTGCGATTTACCTAATTTGAAGTAATAATTATTAATTGCACTTGATATTTACTGAATTGTACATACTCGTACTTACTGAATTGAACGGACATGTCTATTTATTTTTTTAAATTTTGATGCGAAATTTTTGATGAGAATTATATTCTAAAAATATAAATCAATATAGAAAATAAGTGGCAATGAGATTCCGCCAGAGAGAATAAAACTGACAGAAGCGAAGAGTTTCTTTAACACATTTATTTGAAACTTAACTTTAATCATATGGTTTGTGCAATGAGTGGTTGAATTTCACACGTTCTTCTCTTCCAACTTTTATCATTCTACTTCACACATAAATTTTAATATAGTTTATATATTACTAGAAATTTCTGTATTCACTCCAAAACTCTCACAGGGATATGTTCTGACATCATAAATGTATGTACGAACGTAAACTGACGGTCAAAAGTTTTAGATAATCTCAAACTTTGGGCAATTTAAGTATGCGCATAAATTTAAACTAAAGTCTCATTGATAGCGAGAAACCTACCGGTTACTTTAATAACAGCTTGATTTTGGAATCGATAGAAAAGATCTTTTACAGGACTGATGGAAATATTTCCAAGAATGTCCTCAGGTGTGAGGATCCTTAAAGATCTCGTGAAAATATTGTCTTAATACATACTCTTTTCTTTTTTTGAGAACGAGTTGAGTGCATTTCAAGTACTTCCTAAGGTCTTTATTTAAATAGATTTTATTTCCATCACAGACACTTAAGAAAGCAGTTGATATGAATTCATTTTTCAAATACTCGTAGTTAAAAAAAAAACGTGTGCGTCTCTGGACGCCCGACAGAAGTGATAACTTAAACTAATCTAAGTTGAAGTATTTAATATTGAAATTGTTCAACTTGAGAAAACCTTAAGTTATTACTTAAATTGTATGTAAAGCGTCTGTCTGAAATACGCTGTGGGTTGGAGTGAAAGAGGAGGAGCTTGCCTACCGCTGCCCTATGCGTGAGAGAAAGGGAAGCCAGACTGGAGAAAGACAGACTGGCGCAGTAACGCGTTACATAACGAAGCGGTTTACCCTCCCATAAGAAGTTATCACTTCAAAAAGTATCAAAAGTAATTGTCATACATCGTGTCACACATAATAGGCTTGGGATACAACATTAATTACATAAGAAACTGCAGAGTTTTGTATAGAAGTATTGTGTTTTAGTGATTCTTGAAAATTTTGTATATACGAATTTACGATAATCTAGAGAAGATTGATTCCTACTTACAATATCATTGGTTGAGGGTGTGCCTAGTATGTATTAATTACTTTACTTTTTATCTATAGCATTAGGTCTTCATTGTTATTACTCAGTTGATCTGTATATTTAAGTACTTGTTTTGGTGACCGGTACATTAAATATTTAACAAAAATGTTATTTTGTTTTCTCATGCAAGTGGCTTTTGTATCGTTTTTTTGAAAATAAATGATTTATACCAAATTTGAGCTACAAAATAAATTGTTTTGTTAATTTTTGCATTATATCTGTCTTCTTCATCTAATATTTGTTCAACAGGAGTAAGTACTTCGATCCCGCTGTCTCCAATGCTAGTGTCATTACTGTCCATCGCAGCACTTCTGTGCACTGGAATATGTGGGGTCATCACTGCCCTGTATCGTCGACATGCTGCCAGAAGACATGATATAGATAAGCATCCACCGTCAAGGTCAGTTTTAGTTATCAAGTGTCGTATATACACACACTCACATCTCTCATAATTTCATCATCAACCTATTGCAGTCCACTGCTGGACATAGGCTTCTCCGATTGCACGCTACTTAGATCGATTTCACAGTTTATTATTTCACTCACGCATATAACTAGCATCAGAAGATACATTGTAAAAATAAAGGTAATTTGTAAGTTCCAAGTAAATAGCGCTGTGCTAATTAAAATGTAAGTACATAAGAGCAAGAGTCACTATTTATTTAAATAAAATTATTTTCATCTTTGTATTTTCTGCATTAGTACTGTTATTATTTCCTGCTAGAATAGATTCCATGTCTGACGAATAAGAAATACGGAGTATCACCACCCCTATTCATCTCGTAGGTGTCGTAAAAGACTAAAGGAGCAAACTACGTAGGACAACTGCACTGCAAAGAGAAGGAAAACTTGCCAAAACCCTATCCCATCTAGCCAGCTGATGTCTAAGGAGAGTCCTATGTCCAGCAGTATACTACCAAAGGCTGTTGATGATGGTGATGATGTGTATGTTTGGAAATACGAGTATAAAAGTAGGTTTATTTATATAAATAAAATTTGGGCGGTTGAAGGCTTCCCACATATTGCGTAAGTGGTAATTAAAGTCCACAAAAGTCGTTTAGTATGCCTCTGTCTACTCCTTCGGGGATAAATACGCATGTTAATAATTTATTTATATGATACTATCTTTTGCCCGCGGTTCCGCCCGCGTGTACGTCGGTTATCGCTGTAAAATACTGAAACGTGAAATTGTTGAAATTTTTAAAATCTGTTAAGTGGTTTAGGCTTCAAAGTTTACTTTCAATTTTACTTTATAAGTTTGGATGACATCTGCATAATTATTATATCGATTACAGCTTTAATTCGCTCTCGTAAAAAAAGTATATTGGCGTATCATCTCCATTCGTTTTAATTGCCCGGCTCTTTTATCACATGTCCTGCTTAATGCTATTCTATCCAGATATTAAATGAAAATAAAAAAAGAATGAAATTTTATTCTCCTTGCGTCCGTATGAATTCCTGATAATTGGATCTCGTGACACTGTACAAGCTGTCTTTAGGTTTAGAGACTGTAGAGAGAAGGAAAACTTGACACAAACCCTATACCAACCAAAAGTATAGTAGGCCAAAACCTCCTTTCTAGGGAGAGGCCTATGTCCAGCAGTGGACTGTTAAAGGCTGTTGATGATGATTGATGATGTAGCTCAAAAAGCAAACGACGATTTACGGTGGTTGCTACGTTATACCTGACACATTAAACTGTCCCAAATGGTGGTGGTAAAAGATTAGCGGGGGAAAGGAATTAATGAGTCGGTGCAATGTGTAACAAAATGAAGGGTGTGGAGGAACGAGTGTCATGTCCCTCCAACACAAAGGGAGGATCCTCCTACCTGGCGAGGTGACTATGCCTGGCATGCCGCGGCCCAACGGTTGATGTTGGGAAGTTGTATATATGCTAATCGGCGAGGGGATTCTTCATATCGCGATACAGGATTAGAAATTCTCATTTTAGTAGTTACTCCGTAGTCCGGTGGGTCTTCGTTAGATGGCGCTGTAGTATGATTCTGTTCCTTTGTATGTGGGAGTCGCCACATCACTCCCCTTCAAGACCGGAGGTCGATAAATGATGAGTCAGCTGTCTATGCCCTGTTCTGGAGCGTGCCAGTGCCAGTAGTGAGTAGTTCCATTGATCTGGAACTGAGTGCCGCTAGTATGTTTCTGTTCATTTGTATGTGGGAGTCGCCACAAGGGTTTTAGCTGACTTTTTTTATAACTAGCTGCCTGCATAGTACTAAACTTTTCGGGATTGTAGTCGTTTTCAGATAGGACAAAAAGGAAGGTACCGGGAACTGTATTTGGAAACCAGATAGGGCTCTTATTTGAACTGTTGCAGTTATTCTTATCGTTTAAGCTTATCTGAAAAGTATACATAAGAATTCTTTGTGTTATAATCCTTGAGATTTCGTCCAAGGCAGCTTCCTAACATTGAACATCGCTGAAGATTCAGAACTTTCAAGTTATTAATTTTTCCTCACAGTAACGCCCTCTACCTGCACCAGAGCGTGGAGTCGCTCTCGAAGCAGGATAACCTGAACACCTATTGCGCATCACCAAAGTTGGATTACTGCAGCCAGTACGAACTAAAAATAGAGGGGAGTGGGGAAGACACGGATCCAGACATCATACCGTGTCATTATGGTAAGATTTTTTAATCTTTATACCACATTAGGTTTTCATTTTCTTTATCTGCCTGATTTTTCATTTCTAGGTTTTGACTAGTCTTTTTAATGGCCGGATGCTCGCTTACTGTAAGCCTAGCTTGTAAATATAATCATTTTCAAAAAGCAAAAAGAAGGAAGGTAAAATAGGATAATAACACGGATACGACAAGGGAACTAGGATATGAGATATCGCAATTTTTGGATCCGCAACAGGACCGAGACTGCAGTAATTCGAAGAGTCTTTATTTTGTATCTCCGTGTGGCTGTCTTTGTGATTGGATAGGCATCTAGTATAAGGATATGAACTTGGTGAACATCAAGACCTAACAGAAAACCACTTGAGAGTTTTTTTTGTTGCCTTTTTAAAGAATGACTAAGGTAGAGTCCAACCGACCCCTCCCTATAATTCTTGGGCACTCAATGGTTACAACGCACTTGATGCTCTTGAATTGCAGGTATCCATGGGCAACTGTAGTGACTTACTATCATGTGATATGTTTGCTCGTTGCCCTATTCTATAAAAAAAAATCTCTAACAGCGATAGAACAACTCGTCCAAAATCAGGATGTTTAATATTTGGGAATAAACTCGCTGCTTGATTTATTTTAGATAATGTATTCGTATATCATAGCACGCGAAAGTTTAAAAGTGATTAATGGAAAGTGGCTTGGTCATTATTCGGACAATTTTAAAGTTGTTTTGTGTATATTTAACATGAAATATGGACAGTGTTCACTATATTTACTGAGTTATATGCCACATTATTGTATATTTAATTCGTATTTTTCTTTCTAGGAAGATTGCAAAATAAAAACTAAAGTTAGAAAGTTAGAATTACAGAAATCCGTTTGAATGTAAATATAATGATTTCGTCGTTATGTTATAAATCAATCAATAGCAGTCTCTCTAAAATTCAAAATAATTTAAGATTTAATGCTAAAAGACTGCTACGGATTCGAAGAACCTTTTTTACGTTTGTAGTATTTTTCCACAAATCAGAAGAAGTTATAATTAACCTATTTTTATTCTTCAATAAAAACAAACACCCACGAACGAAATCAAGGGTACGTAAATACTTTACAAGGCTCTACGCAATATAAAGACATATTTACAGAAATTCAGTTTGTTTGTATTTTTTCGAAGTCAATTAAAAAATGAGGACAATATTTAACGTTAAATATGAATTTAGGTATGTGGATATGATTTTGTAGGTAAAATGCCTATTAAGGTGACGCGTCCTCTGTTGTGAGAAGCCGACAATGATAACGGTATGATATTGTGTTACAGGGAAAAGTCCCCCATTTAATTATATAAAGTTCCTCTATTATTATAATATACTTAATTAGACTTAGTGGTGATGAGGGTGTATCACAAGCCATAACGTACTAACAAGGGACAGGGTCGCCTTAAAAGGGCCCATAGAAAGTAAATATATACATAGGGAAATATGTAAGGTCAATTCTTTGATGTCAACTGTAGGTGTAAATGTTCTTAAAAGAGAATATACTGAATGCATATCGCTTTTTATACGTGTTGGTCCCAGTTTGGACCGTCAACACCACCACCGTTCGCTAGAATCACGAAATATGTACTCCTGGCTCTTGCATAGCCGCGATGGCGTTTCCCAGGAGTCGCAGATCCGAAGAGATCTTCGGCATTCCGATTCGACACCAAAAAAGCGTCGACTGCGCGGATGGCCTAGTGGTTTAAGTGGTTGCCACGCCGCTTCCTACTACGAATTAGGAATATATTCCTAATGCGGGCGTTGTCCTCATAAAAAAAAAAATCGTCTGCCAACAAATTTAACCAATAATCATGAAATTTAAAAAATACAAGTATTACATCATGAAATAACAATATAATAACAAAAGATAAAAAAATAACATAAACGAAGACGAAGACAAAAAATAATTTGAAAGTAATTATGAAATGAACAGAGGAAGTATAATTTAGATCAATTGTTATTATTTAAGTAATTTTTATAAATCATTTCAAAACGGAATCGAAAAAATCACTTTTAAAATTTTGCATGCCCTAATTTATGATTATGTTAACGGTAATTAACGAGACGGCTTGGGTAAAGGTATGTAACCTTTAAACTATTTAGAGATGTCTTGTTTGAAATCGAGATTGGTATTTAGGTACCAATAATAACAAACATATTACCATTTCCAAAGTATATACAAAATAACTATTTCCAAATGAAGGTGCGGTTGAAGCCAATTATAATAAAACCTTAAAATAATTTAATTAAAAAATCAAAAGCTTCTTTCTTTTCTTTCCAGTTTTCTAATTACAATATATTGTTGCAGACAAGAAATCAATAAATGATTTTAGTAAGCTGCCCTCTCCTATCCTGGACTCTAATCACCACAGGATGTTCAGCGATAGACCTACTGTACCTGCCAGTGCTGTAAGTATTTAATCAAAACACCATTTGAATTTCACCACTAACATTTAAACTAACAAGAAAATCTCTTTAAAAAAACGTTGAACCGACTTCAAACAAATACTAACAAAGAGCACTAAAAACAAAGCAGCAATCGAGGTTGATATGTCATTTTTTGAGGAGTATGAAAAATAATTTATAAAATTTAAATGGGACTATTTCGGAATAAACCCCTTTCGAATAAAAAAATAAGTTTGAAAATTCGTCTATATATGACGTAGTTATGCCCGAACATACATAAATAAACATCTGAAATCATAACCTTTTCCTTTTTGAAGTCAGTATAAATGCGTGGGAAATTATAATCCGCCGTCTTGATCGGCGAGATACCACGGCCTCACACAAAACCGATGTTAAGCAATTCCTTCGTTGCATTTCAGCAATTAAAGGAGTTTCCTTGGAGACCTAATTAATTCCGGGGAACTCACAAGCTGGCAACGCAACTGACAACTGGATTACTAAAAACTGAAAAATTTAAAGTTTATTTTTCGATCACAAATCATGCAGTTTTAAATGTTTTGTTAAATTTACTTTACTGACACTATATAGAAACACCGTACCATTACAGATCAGTATTTATACTGAGTTCTTGTATTTTTCTATAATCGCCTGCACAAATGACTTAAAAAAAAACCCATCTTCACTATTCCTACACCTAAACTTTAAGCATTCCAGAATCTGATATAATATTTGCTTATGTAGAGTACGAAGAATTCTCTTACATGTTAAGAGAATTCAGATGATCAATTTCATTATGAATTTATTCAAATGTTGTACATCAGTGCCAGAGAGCTACCGGAACTCTTTGAACACTATATTGCCTAAAAAAAATTCTGCCCGCTAAAACCAAAACCTTGTGCGAACTTTGTGCGAACTCTTAGCTTCCCAATAATCGACTATGGTGATGAGTGCTGTTATGACCTGAATGCATATCTTCTCGATAAGTTGGACCGTCTTCTTAATAACCGCATTCGATACATCTTCAACCTCCGTAAATATGATCATGTGTCCTCTTTCCGTTTGCAGCTTAACTGGTTACAAATTCATCTACGTCGTAAATTACGCGCTTTCACTGTCCTATTTACCATTCTAAATACCCCATCTTCGCCAACGTATCTAGCTTTCTACTTTCAACTCTTATTCAGCAATCACGATAGAAACCTTCAGTCCTCCAATAACCTTCTTCTTCGTTGTCCCTCCCATACATCTGAGTTCGTTGGCTCATCGTATCCTGTTTAGTCCGTTCTTCTTTGGAATGCGCTTCCGCTCGAAATCACCAACCAACACTTTTTCTTTTAAAGAAAAAGTAAAGCAGTATCTGGTGAAAGAACTGGCAGAATCAACTTGCTCGTGTTTTTTTATTTCAAATTGTCAGTACTATAATACGTATGTATTTATATCCTTTTGTACTGTATTTATGTATTGTAATGTTTGTACCTACATACGTGTAATATGTATTGGTATAATATATGATAGGTTTATATGTGTGTAAATATGTGATTTTGTATTCAGCTCAAATTGCTTTTAGTATAAAATTAACTGTAACCAATATACTTCACTCTGCATCAGCCAATGGTGGACTGGTAAAGAATGCCTTAGGCATTAAGTCCGCCAATGCACCTAATGTGTATGACGGGTAAAATAAATCAATAAATAAATGAGTGATTTTGGAAAGTGTGTCAGCGTGTCAGCAATCAAGTTCTATAGTAACTTTAGCGGAATGTATACCACCAATTGCAATTCTTTATCATATTTGATTGCATGTTTTTTTTGCTTACGTCAACATTTGATATTCGTATATTTTTGAGTTAGTTACATAGTTTATTTTAAAAGTGTATAAAATCTACATATACCAATGTAGCGGTGGGGATTTTAACATATCTAACCACATTTTCAGTTTCAATTTTCGACTTCTTTAAAGTTTTTTGAGTTACTAATGAATTCAGTGTGAATAAGATACACAGGACACTCAGTAAATAAAAAATACATTTCATAAACATCGCATCGCACGCATCTTACAGCGATAAAACGGTATCCTTCAAATTATTATTTTTAGTTCATCAATCATCATCATCAGCCTTCAATATTCCGAGCTGGACATAGGCCTCTCCTTAGAAAGGAGCTTTTTAGAATTAGCTCTTTTATGTTTTTTTTTATTGTAAGTCCCGATTGTTCTCCATCCAAATTACAGAATGCGTAAACATCGATTTAGAATGTTTTTTATTGCTTTATCTCCATTATCATAAGGCCCATCTCTTGAGGTAGTCTCCATCACGTATCATTATCATCAGATTAAGAAAATTAAATAACAGTAATTCAGCACCAAAATAAGGGACGATTATGTTTTGAGTAAATTTACTGTGCCTTAAAATCTTCTTCTGAATATATTTTTCAAAGAATTTACTCTCTCCTGTAATCTTCCAGGTTAATCTTTTGCAAGACTTCATCAACAGCCTATAACAGTCCACTGCCGGACATAGGCCTCTCTTTAGAAAGGAGGTTTTGGCCTACTATATTACGCTGGCCAGACGGGTTGGTATAGGGTTTGTTTCAAGTTTTCCTTCCTTTGCAAGACTTGCACTAGAGATTATCTCTGTACACGTTCTGGTTATTTTAATTTATTTTTTTGTCTGCAGTCATCTGTCAGCATATGCGTAGTGAACCGTGGAGTAACAGCCCGCAGTGCAGATATTGCAGCCGCGAGACGGCCAGAAGTTGTGACGACCGCGCGGAAGGTTCGAGAAAGCTGCATTTAAATGACATGAATATACTAAATAGTTTTAAGACAATTTGTGATTGTTTGTAGTGTATTGGAGTTCATATAACTATTATAAATGTGCGGAATCCGCCAAGAAATAAGGTGATATAAAGTTAACGTTCGAACAATTATTGTGACTGTCAGTGATAATAGAAAGAACAAATAAAGGTCTTTAAATAAGAAAATATATAGTATTGAACACTGGTAAACTGGTGAATTTTACGTATAATGTACAAAGTGTAGAACATAAACCAACTCGGAAGATGTTATTTTGTAAGTTTAAAGGAATTGTATTACAAATTACTTGGAAGAATCACGCGTTTTTTGTCAATTGGAATTAAACTAAATATATTATTTCTTTGTCGTGTATAGAAGTATAAACATACACTTCACTTTTTATCTTTCAACAAAGTTTATTAAAAAATAAATAGAAAAAGTATGTACAATCGAAAAAAAATATCTTTTAATTATCTTTTTTTTTTTTTTTTTATTAAATTTTCTTTTTTGATTGATTATTTTTACTTATCTTTCGGTTAAGGTAAATAACAAGAAAATAAATGTTTGTGTAGTTACACATTGAAGACAATTCCTATCAAGTTTTTGTCTTAACAATGTGATTCTTAAAGAGCAAGTTACAAATTATATAATACAAAATTGTCAAGAAATTATTGTATTAAATTATAGTTGGTAACACAATGGTTAAACAAATTTATAATTAATATATTTAATTAAGAAAATCCGCCCAACCCTTTGAAGTAATAAAATGAGTTAATAACAATTCCATTGAAATATTTGAAAGTTTCGTACTTTTCTACTTATTACTTTCTGTTAATATTTACAACATGATATTACTGCTATATAAACATCTAGATTTCTGTCTTTCTATCCTTGAGATAGGAAGGCCAGGTATTTATGTGTTTATTCTAAAACAGTTATAAAAACATTAGGTATTTTAGACACTATTAAATTAGTTTAAGAAGATAATTCGTTGTTTTTTGCAGGATCTAATCATAGAATTAAATTTTAATATTTTTTTGGTGCAAACCATTCAACACTGTATATAATTGAAGTGTAAGACACACGTAAGACACTTTGACATGCTATAACGTGTAATTTTAAGTACATGGTTTGAGGTGGCAAAGCAAATGACACGACCGAAGTGATGGTATTTCCTCACTGAAATTCGGTGTTAAGCATTTCTTTAGTTGTTTCTCACCGAGTGCGTGAGGTTCCCGGAGGTTAAACTAAAGATTTGAGTTCCCCCTCATTATCAAATAGTTGTGGTAGTTACCTACTATCAGGAAACCCGCCTGCTTATAAAAGAAAATAATATTACTCGTACATTACATACATATACATATTTAATTTCAATTGATACGTCACTACCTTAATTTCTTTGAAAGCTACACTTACTGCAATAAGCTTCTGAATTGAAACTCGCATAAAATTTATATGAGCCACAAAAGGTATAGATACGCCTACGTTGACATAATAACATAGCAGTGAAAGTTTGATTACACTGTATCATATAATATTATTATTATGTACAAAATGAGTTCTGAATAAATTACATAGATTAGTTTTGCCTATTATTTCTTCAAAAGTAATTTGATACTGACAATATTAACTCTATCGACGTTTATTGTAAGAATATTATCAAATCTTTCTATATTTTAGTGGTTTAGTTTAGTTTTATAATTTTAGTTGTCATTTTAGTCTGAAAATTGTAATGTTTACATGATATGTACAGTGATAAAAGCATCGCGATAAAAATATATGGCAAAATTTTAAATTTTGGCTATGCGTTGGCAAATTCAGTTAGATTAAAATATTTATTTTTTACAAACACTACGTACAACATTTCGTATGGAATACTGTGATTCCCTTTTCAAAGGTCTTTATTGCCTTTGTTAATTTTTTGTATAAAATATTGTAAATTGAAGTTTCCAATTGCTGAATAAATGTCAAAAATACACATAAGCTCAAATTTAGTAAAGAAGAAGACTTTTTTTCTTTTTGCTTCATTTGTTACATCATATTATAATAAAAAAAATGAACTTTACCCTTTAGCCAGTCAATCAGATAAACAGTCAACCCAAAATTTAGGATTTTCGATTAGAAGTTTTTAATTTCGGTCTAAAATGTGGTTAGAAAAAGACAGGGTAGTACCTAATTTGATTTACATAATTACTAATCAATTAAAAACATTTCGTATTGATTGTCCTTAGCCAAGCTTAAAAAGGGTGATATCATATGTTCCTTGTAAGTATAAAATCTAATCAAAGTATTCTTATGAATACTGGGATAGACAATTGCGTTCATTTAACCCATAAATTTAATATCCGTATATAACGTTTTTTTTTTTTTTTTTTTAACGTGTGGAAATCCCCTCGGACCGTCACCCCATCGGGGTTTGCGGCGGGGTGGTGTGTCGGACTCGGACCGACTAAAACCACACGGTGTGCCACTCTGCGCCTGTAATAGGAGGGATCTGGGAACAGCTGTTATTAAGACATCCGGACCCCTCCTAGCACCGGCCCGCTCCTGTTGCGGGCTCCGTCTCAAATTTTTTTTTTCCGTATATAACCGTATATTCCGTATATAACCTGCAACAACGTCTTAATCTGGGTCAGTATTGAGTCTGGTAAAGCATAAAAAGCACGCTAATAGAATCAGTACTTTTTACATAAGTATGTCCTGCGATTCTTTTTAATAAGAATCACTCACCACTCACGAGTATCTCTCACGACTAACAGGAGACAATGGGAGTCACATCAACAGCCTTTAATAGTCCACTGCTGGACATAGGCCTCTCCTTAAAAAGAAGGTTTTGGGCTACTATACGACGCTGGCCAGGCGGGTTGGTATAGGGTTTGTGTCAAGTTTTCCGTCTTTTTGCAGTGCTGGTGTCCTGCGTTGTTTTGCGCCCTTAGTCGGCTCTTACGACACCCACGGGATGAATTGGGGTAGTGACATTCCGTATTCTTAATCCGTCACTACACGGACAATGGGAGTGCACAAGCCTATATTGACTTGTACAATGTACAAGTAAAATGTACAATGATCATATCGTCTTTACCGTAAAAGCAAAAACAAAAAGTAATCAATTTCAACCTTCAAGATTTCAAGAAAATAGCTTTTTTAAAAAAGGAATTATGATTCTTCAATTGCAGGTATATAAAAAAAAATGCACATAAATATCTCCATAATAATTCAAAATAAATACTAAATACTAGTCTTTAATACACCCTTAGATGTTTGATCAGATTTTGTTTACCCGATATTTCGAACAAATTACACCGATTGTTCCGAATAGTAAACCAATACAAAATTGAAGCATTGAAATCGATTGGTAGAATCAGCACATTTTTGTCGGCGATATTATGCTCAAGAGTAGACGTCAGAAAAGAAATAAAATAAAAATAAAACCATTATACATATGGTATTTTTTGTTCCATTTAACAGTTTACAAAGTTTCAAACATGATTAAAACTAATATATCGTCGTTCCAGAGAAATATGTAGTCTCAAAAGTTTTACGATTAATATTTGTATTTTAGGTAGGAGCTGGGAATATTACGTGTTCTGCTCCAAGTGATTGATTAAATTCAAACTTTCTGCGTCAGGGTTGACCTTTATTCATGTTTCATGTTAAAATTTGACGTGATCTATAAGTACCTTACTATTTTGTAATTAATCATTTCTGTACAAGTGTGTCTCTAATTCTCCTGACATTGTTTCGTTTTTCGTAGTTGTCGTTCTTCTTTCTATTATTTATTTTCTTATTATTTTCTCCAATGTTGCGAAGAAAAACGCAATGGGGTTTTTAATATTACTTTTTGTGACATGCAGGCCGCCTCCTTGACGTCGAAGAAAGTAAAGTGGGGCAAGGGATAGTGCAGATTTCGGATGGGTAATGGAGATCTCGTAAATACCTGATGGTATTTAAATTGTTAAGTAATTTTTAAAGTTTCATGTTTAATGATATATTACTTATGAATAGATGATGGAATGATGAGTCCGATTGTGACCACGGTCAGTAAAACCTGGTCGAAACGTCAGACAATTCAAAACTATTTAATTTCTGTTCATTAATTATAAATACGTAATATTTGTACGTAATATTTTATAATTAGTAATTATTGAGTGACCATATTAATTAGTTATATGAAGTAATTATTACGGCTACTCAATAATAAGATTCATTTTAATTTTTCATAAAGTTCATCATCAATCATCATCATCAACAGCCCTTAACAGTCCACTGCCGGACATAGGCCTCTACTTACAATGGAGGTTTTGGCCTACTATACCACGCTGGCCAGACGGATTGGTATAGGGTTTGTTTCAAGTTTTCCTTCTGTTTGCAGTGCTGTTGTTTTGTAGTTTGCTCCCTTAGTCGGCTCATACGACACCCACGGGATGAGAAGGTGACACTCTGTATTCTTAATCCATCACCACACGGATACGTCATATAGTACGGTCAGCAAAGTCAATATTACACGTTACTAAATAATATTATTTCATAGAAAGTAATTGTAAATTAAATGTAATTGAGTAAGTTATATATAATATACTGTAATGTACGTACGTAGTTACAAGTTAATTTCTAAACTGCTAGGAGTATTCTGTTAGCACATTTTGTTACGATAACTAGTATAATTGATTTGGAATTGAGAAGAGTGGGTTGTCCTACATAAGTAACGGTCTATGAAATGAGAACTGCCTCTTTCAGTCCTTTTAACGTATTTTATTTGGAGTTAGCGCAATGTATAACTTTGCTAAGACTTGACGCCAACCTTTTTATATGAGTTTTCAGGTCGGCCGGGGTAATACCACGACCTCACAGAAAACCGCTGTGAAGTGATTTTTTCCTTGCTTTTCACTGACTGAGTGATGTAACTGGAGCCCAATCGCACCTCTCCCCAAAATGGGGGGGGGGGGCTGACACAAAGAACGATAATGCACTTGTCACTCTTGAGTTGCAGGTGTCTATGGG